TTTTTTTTTAAATTAAGGATTTAATAATTATTTATGTATTTATTTATATTATTTTTAAAAAATAAAAAAAATAACAATTAATTTGAGATAAAATTAAAATAAAGAAAATAATTATTTTAAGATAGAATGAGTAATAGCATTTTTTTTAATAAATAATGATAAATGAAACTAAAACTAAAACAAATGACTTAACATAAATTACATCATTTAAAATATTAAAAAATAAATATTATATTATTTAATGATAATTTTTTTACTTTATTAAAACTCAAAAAATTATATATATTAATTTATTTAATAACATAATTTATATTATGTGGACAGTAATATAGAGATAAATTTTATATAATATTTTCATATAACTTTTACGTATTATTTAATAAATAAATATACTTCATATTACAAATTTTAAATGAATAAAAAAACAATTATTAAGATTATATCAAAAAATAATATTAAAAATCATTTCTAAATTATTTTTCATATCACATTATTAATTTTAAATTTTTATCCCTTATTTTCGGCCTATATATCGCCACTCTTTATTTTTTTTTGGTACATCAGAAGTATCGCCGCTCTTTTTTAATAGGAAAGAAAATGGAAACATTATTAGAATAATTCAGAGAGGAGAATTAGCTGCCCTAAACATAAAACCGCGTCAAAAATCCCACTCAGATCAATATTAGACTATTATTGTAACGTTTTATAAAAACAAATGAGTAGATAAAGTCAGGTCAACCTAAAGCTACTATAAGTTCTAGAAAACATAAATAAGAAAACAAAATAGATGAAAAATTATTATACTCGATTATATATTTTATCCACCCAACAACGTAATTTAATTAGTTAAATTAAGTTATTTTTCTCTCTCCTCTTCTGCTTTTCTTTTCTTTTCTTTTTTTTCAAATTGAAATAAGTTATAAGATAAGAAGTAATCAGTTTTTTTTTTTTTTTTATTTTGATTGCACAATGAAAGGCAACTATTTTTCATTCTTTATTTCACTCCAACCGCATGTCATGTGATTCAAACTTAAGACCTCATATTTCTAGAAGAATAAAATAACCACTGAATTATTTAAGTCGTTGATAAGAAGTAACTAACTATGAATTTAGATTTTTCAATAATTAAGTAGTCTTATAGAATAATGTATAGATATAC